CAGACTGGGCCTGCCACTCCTTGATGGTATCCAAGAAATGGTATGCTTTTTTTTCTTTTCACATTTAGAGTAAAAAATCTCTGTTGGTTTCATCCCATTGATGAGTACCGGTATATTTCCTCATTCAGGGATAGACTGAAACTTGATTTATCCCAAATTGTTGATGCTTGTTGATTTTTCTCTTGGTTTTTATTATTTTCCTTTTTTTGTCAACTGGTCAGGAAAGCAGGCTCTTACTTCGTGTAGAAGACACAGATGACGTAAAACAATATAACAAAAATCATGAAACAATACCTACTTACACTTTGAAAGCCCTGAAGACTCCTAAAGCCTTTGTTATGACAGATGTGTCTTCTACACCAAGTAGGAGCCGGAAAGCAACTGGTTTCGTCCATTTTATCGAGTGAACCCTTATGATCCTACACGTTAATATACCTTCTCTCTAATACATTCATGAAACACTACTACCTGCTAGCCAAAAAGATGACCTTCAATTTAATGTTACTTATTTGGAATATGTTTTCAGTGTAAGAGTGACAATGAAGATCGCATGAAACGTTTAGAGAGAAAAAGGACTGAAGAGGGAAAGAAGAAACGGGTTCAATCAAAAATTAACAGAACTGAAGAGCAAACACTAAGGTAAAGACATTTGCAAAAAAAAAATATTAAAATTAGGCATGGCTTCATGTATCAGAAAATTTAAATTATTATTGATTGAACCCTAAAGGTTTGTATAGTACATGCTTCGTTATTCCAATCTTTATCTTGCCAAATAAACCTTGAAATAATTTTATTTACCCCTTTGCACAAAATACTGATATAAACCCTGACACTTCAGTGTAAGATTGGTTTAACTGCTGAGTAGGTGACCTTTTTGGTGAAAGGATCAAACTGTCTTATCTGAGTAGAGATTTGTAAACAGCTTGTACCCAATAGCTTTTGACCAACTATTTGTGGATGTTATTTGTTAGAAAAAAATATATCAAGAACTGCCAAATAAGATACACATATGGGGAGGATGAAGACAAGGAAGAGGGGTACAATGAAGATGATGCCTTGATGATAACAGAAAGAGCGATCGCTAATGGAAGCGCAAGACGTTCTCCTGTGTTAGCACCAGTTCCTGCACCTGAAGGAGCTAATGTGGAAGTTGGAGGAAAGTCGTGTAATTGGTGTGACAGCAAGACACATCTTCGAAAGAGCCTTAAAGACTGTCCTTACAATAAGAGAGCATAGTTCCTATCGACAGAGAGAGTTTGTGTACATTATATTGTTCTAATGCCTTCTGAGTCCATAAAAGCTGTTTGAATAAAAATTAGTTTATATCTATTGCATACTCAGAAACAATAGGTCATTTTCTTAATAACAGTTTTGCAATAGTATTCAGAGTATTCAATGCTCAAGTTCATAGTTCCAATTTCTTTTTTTTTTGCAGAGTTATCTTTACAATAAGGTTGACTTTGTTGGATTTTATCTGTCATCTTTTCCATATTTTCATGATGTCATTTGGTAATCACATCCTCTACAACATCAAAACTTCTCTTTGAAAATAGTAGTGTCAGGATAAATTATGTTCTCCATACGTTTCCTTTCATTCAAGTGAGGAGAATTTGCCTAACAGGCCCTTTCATCCTTGATAGAAAAGTTGTTGTTCTGTGATCTAAGGAACAAATTAACTGAGATATGAGGTACTTACCATTTACACAAACCACTCGGTTGGAAATCTTGTGTGTAAACATTTAACTATAACATCTGACATGGTGGAGTAAATTTCCACTAGTCTGCAAGGTATATCCAAATAAGTGGAACCGTGGAAATAGACTAAAATGGTTGCTTTGCCTCAAATCACATTCGATGTTTGTTGAAACTTCCCAAACAGAATGCTGCAAACCATTTGATTTCCTAAGAAGAATTTTTGGTTTTCCCACATAAATGGTGGTACCCATGGTCTCAGATGCCACTCTTTTAGGTGAAAAAGTCAAGGAGGTTTCCCTTTTATATGGACAGGAAAGTATTTAAAGTTTGTGCAAAGAAGATGAAATAAAGGACTCGACCTTCCACTTTACACATTTTCTTTTCTATCTTTAATATATATATATATATATATATATATATTTTCCAGGGGCCGGTCCCTGAAAGGTGGAATAACTCTATTCCAGGGATAAGTCTGCCTTATTCCAATCATAACTTTATCCCAGGATAACGTTTTGACTTGAATAAGACAGTTTTCTCCCTGGAATAGAGTTATTCCACCTTTCAGGAACCGGCCCCAGATAATCATAATTATTATTATAATAGTGTGTCATGATCTACACGTTATTTCTGTCCTGCTGTACTTAGAGGGTTTTGTGTATTTTGTAGAAAAAGGAAAGGAATGAAGTGAGATACATTTTTTTTAACAAAAACATAATTTAATATTTCATTCTCTGGAATTTACATCTCGCTGTTTTCTGTACAGATTCTGTTTTCTTTTTCACTTCCAAAACTTTTCACTTACAACATATGGAAAGTGTCAGTACCAATATGGATTTTGCCAAAAAGGCTTTTTATTAAAACAAACTTTCTGATTAGTTTCTTCTTATTATGACTATTATTATTTTTATTAGTATGTTCTGGATTGACGAAAAATCAAGAATATCTTCAAAAATTATCTTGGAAGTGAAAAAGTGTTGCTTACAAATATTGATTTATAATTATTACAAGTCATATGTTGATAATTTGTTGGAGATAACTGCAGAAAAATATATGTTGGTTTGTACCAAAGACGTGTTCAGAAGATTAATTGTCATCTTTTAGTTTACACAAAAGAAAATTAATGTTCATAAACAAGAGAACTCTTCAGTAAATTACTTTGGTTTGGCTCCTGGCCATTTTGCCTTGTGTAGATCTCTCAACGTGACATGATACACCTGGCTAGAAAAAAAAGAACGTCGTTTCTATTAATTTCAATCACAGAAAAGTGCTCATCTTTTCACACACAAATGTTCAAAAGACTTGTAACCATACTAGAATATAAACAAAGGACAGTAACTTACGGCTGATCCTTGGGGATCTGGGTAGTCCCCGAGCTCCCCACCGATGGCTTCTCTCACTGCAGCTTTCAGGCTTGGAGGGTAAATATAGGTGGGAAGCGATTTCCCTCTGAATTGGTTCTTTCCCACGCTATTTCCAAACTGTCGGGAAAGAAGGAAGAAAGTTAAGCAATATAGACTGAAAAGACGATTTCAGTTGCTGTTTGAAAACGAATGGATTCAAGAGAGTGACTGGAAATGATCATTATGTTTTCCACGAGACTACGTGCCAGTTGCTGACCGTTCATTACCCACATGAAGACCACTGCCTACAGTGTATTTACTGCTATGTGCCCATAAGTATCTTCAGTTTGCGAAATTTCACAGATGAGGTAAGCTTATAGATTCTTGTCGACCACGTGTTAACATTCAAGCACGTTCGCGCAAAGTGTTACAACCGATCGTTTGGTGCGGATAATTTGCTTTTGATTAGTTTCGATAGAAACGGATAGGTTATTAACACTTACCCACAAAATTCCAAAAAAGTGTTGAAAAAGCCTGTGACAGCAGTCCTCCCTCGTTTCATTCGGTTTCGGCTTTGCCTGGCGGAGAATGTTGGCCAAGCCAGGCGGTGTTCCTTCAAATCTAAAGGAAAAGAAGCAGCGACCATTTATTTATAATTAAAAATAAAACAGTGTGATTTGCAATTTGAAAATAATAACATCACAAAACTTTCGTTTACCCACTCTGGTGAAAAACTACATTGAGCCTCTCCACTGCGTCCATTGTCCTGTAATCTTTAATCTTGCGCGCGAAAGACGATTACGTTCTGGTCAGCTTGCTCATCCAAGCGATATCGTGTTTCGTTTTGGTGATTATGTCAACACATCTGTCACCAACAAAGTCTTTGGGGATTTCTTTAGTCGCCCGAAACCACGTGAAGCGCAGTATGTCGCCTTTATTTTTCCACGAAATGGCCCATAAAGACAGAACTTTTCTCGTTTATATCTCGGAAACGCGTAGCTTCCCGGACTTGAAACTTTGCACACGGTCTCATTTAAATGTGATCTACCAGGTCACAAAAAATTAACGCAATCGGAGATGGTGAGGTTAGCCTCCGGTACCACCTTAAGAGCTCATCTACTCCCCAAGCTTTGGTAGATGTTGACCTTGACAAGTCAAGTGTAAGCTGGGAATTGGTCTGACATTGGCTATGCAGCTGATGTAGAGGTGAAACAACTTCTTGCCAAAGGGACGATAGCTGAGGAAGCAGCTTTAGAATTTAGAATGCAGTGCAACTCTGCACTTTGCAAGGCTACCTCATCACTCCTGGAAAAGTGCCCTCGAGTATATTTTAGTGAGAAATCTTGCATCCCTTAATCCTTCACAGATTGCAAATGATCCAGCCAAGTCAAAAGAGAAATTGAAAAGAGTAGTTAACAGGCTAGATCATGCAAAGAGAATCAAGTCCAAGGACTGCGATGACGTAATATGGCAGTACAATTATTTTTTTTATGAAGCTGTTGGCTCAAAGTTTCATTCTTATGAACCATATTCTGAGAACTCACGTCTTGACAAGTTCTTCTATGAGGAAATTGGTACGAAGAAAGAGTATGGTCTTCTGTTTGATGTAATCAAGCTATGTTTGTGTTTATCACATGGTCAGGCTACTGTTGAAAGGGGGTTTTTCATAAATGCTGATTTAATTGTTGAAGACTTGCAAGAGGGAAGCATCACCGCCCAAAGAATTGTCTACGACAATGTTTCCTTTGCTGGTGGGGTGCTTGAAATACCTTTAACCAAGGAATTTGCTAACTAGAGTTAGACGCTTACATCAGGGACATTTAGCATCTCTTAATGCAAAAAAAGAAGACCACATAAAGGAGAAACAGAAAAAGAAACTGAGAGAAGAGACTGAAGATCTTGCAAAGAAGAAGAAACGATGTGAAAATGAGGTTGATTTTAACAACCACGGCTGATGAACTGGCAGAGGAAGCAGAAAGTGAACATTCTCTGCTACTTGTAATGCAGTCTGATGCACTTAGAAAGAGAGCAAGAGAAAAAGCTGAGGAGCTAAAGCTTATTGATGACAAATTAGAGATCAAGAAAAAAATGAATGAGAAAGTTATGAAAACGTGTCTCTACATACACTTTCACTTTGTAAGTAACTTGTTCTAAAGAAAATTGATGTGAAATTTACAACTTTGGGGTCCTGGATTATCTTGTGTATACCCTGGAAAACTCCTCAAAGTTCTTAATCTACAAGTACTATGAACCCTGTCAAAGTCTAATTGTGACGAAAACCCGTTAATAGTACAAATATTTTGAACATATCTCATCCCCGGACTTCAACCTTCCAAATTTAGATGAGGTACAAATAATGAAGATTCAGATTTATGTTTCAGATCGTAAAACTGGGATAAAGTACCCTGCTAGTAGTGCTTTCTTTTCCACATGCCTCTTACCTTGTACAAGACGTCCGCATGGCAGACATTGGCCTTCCTTCGGTTGTTTACTTGCCTTTTTTACCCTGGCAAGCATTGCATGCCTCTTGCAACTTTGCATCAAAACAAGCCATTTCGATTTCTCCATTTGGGCTATGCCCAAATGATAAATACACCACATGAGAACAACCATTTTCCCATGTTTTCCTGAGTGGTATTTATAATGTCAAGAATTGCATGCTGAGTTGAATGCACTTTGCAGAATCCATATTGGGATGGAGAAAGAGAAAATGAAAGATTCCATTCTAGAGAAGACCAATTTTTCCAGGATCCTATTAAAGTTAGACAGCAAAGGAATAGGCCTATAGTCGTTTGTGTTATGGTTATCAACCTGCAGAATTATAAATCTCAGTTGCGTGACAGGAGAGATAGATCACCAACAACAGAGCAACACAGCCATAAACTTCATCATCATCATCAGTCAATGCACTTTTATAGTACCCAGTACCCCAATGTTACTGATTCCTTCTTTTAAACTCCCTATTTACAATATCTCAACACTACCAAGCACAAAAATAATATACGTAATGGCTTTAAACTATGCAACCAGTAGAAAAATTGAGGTCACAAGACTTCAAGGGAGCATGATATGACACAGAAACTCCTTGGATACATTTTTCTTTTTAGATTCAGCTGTGCTATGCTGTGAATTGGCTTTATCAGTGAAGATTTGCTGAAATGGTCTGCTAAAGACTGGAATTTACGTTTTGTTGTTTTGGTCGTAGGTGTATACCTATATATACGCTAGTGTTGCGAACAAAAAGGGAAGTTAATTATGATAATGCAACAAAGGCGTTTTGGGTTTTTAGGGGAAAAGGAAAAAAGGTTGGTGTGTAAAAAAAGGAGTCAAAAGTTTGTACTAGCTATGTTGTTTATACGGTGTACGGTGAAGTTACTGTGTTTCCTTGAGGCAGCGACAGCCTCATCCTCATCCGCTGCTTCTTGCATTTTTGAAGTTAAGCGCATTTCAACTTGCTGTTGCTTAACCTTGATAGATTTAACAGCCGCTTCTTGTGGGCTTTCTTGAGCTCAGTATAAGCTCCCTCCATCAAGGCCTTCGCGTTTAGGAGCTGAGCTATTATTTGCTTTCTTACATTCTTCTTTTTTGGCATCATGGCGTTCTACTGCCACGAGGGCAGCAGCCTTGCATTAAGGGTTTTTGCCCAGCATTTCCTTTTTCTGCTGCCCAAGTCTGCTCACACTGATTTGTTTGTGATTTAAACACAGCTCCTTCTCATCCTGCAAGAGTTTTTGGCACTCTGCTTTAATTAAAAACGTTTCCTTCCTTGACCAGGAGACATCAGTTATTATTCACGTTATGGTGGTTTTGTTGCAGTGCCACATTTTTGGAGACTTGGCCAGTTGTTCGGCTTTGACTTTCTCGGTCCAAAAGCACCTTCTTTTTCTCGCCAAGTGGCCTGAAGATGTTCAGTTTCTTTATCTGGATAACTGCTAATATTTTCCATTTTAGATTTCATGAAATGTTGTTGCTTTTCGGCTGAGCTCGGCCAATTCAGGATCCTCACCTAATTTAACAGACAATAATAATTACTTTAACGACTCCTTAACAATTCATCAAATTCTCATTTACAAGTGAATTATGTTAAGGAAGTATTAGATACTTTGAGTTAGTTGCTTAAGTCTCATCAAAAAACCTTCATAAGTGGACCATCAAGGGACCCAGCAAGTACGAACCTGGTGCTACACTATATAAAACAAAAAAATACAATGGTGTAAAATTATGGCAAGAAAAGTTGCATGGTCTCAGTCATTTTCTTTTCACCTATTGCTATCTATCCTTCATATTTTCATACATTTCGAAATTACAGTGTGACTACCAATGCGGTTTTCAAGGCTTGATGTTGTCTTTTTAACTGCTCCATGGAATTCTCACCTGCCACCATGAACATGCTCTGTGGGGTAATAGAAACTACGTGTGGTGCCATTATTAGCTTTGCATTTTTTGTTCAGTTCAGCTACACAGTTTATACAACAGATGTTTTCTCCAGGTTTCCCTCTCCATGTTCTCACGGAAGGACTTCTCAAATTTCCGTTTGCGTGTGTTGAGGTACTTGTGGGCACTTTCCACTGAAAGCCACGAAAGTATGGACAGTTGTTTTAACATTTCTTCCAGTGGTTCCGGGTCAATGTTGAAAAATGTATCAAAGATTCTCCATGGCCAGAATAAATCATTTGAAGATGCAATCTCGCAGTTTTCTCTTATGAGATATGTGGTTTTCTCTAAAGTCAAATAGTGTAATTCCCCTTTGTCAGTGACCCATCGGATGTACTCTGGGATTGGTTGAAGCACTGATTCAAAATCCATGATATATGTAATGGCTTTAAACTATGCAAGCAAGCAATTCAATTAGAGTAGTGGTTGCAACCAAAAATGGCACTTACCAAGATAATGCGTCGAAGCTATTTAAAAATCTACAAGAGACTATTAGAACCTGTAAAGATTACAGAACCTTTTTAAGACTTGCAAGGAATTTTTTTATATAACAGAGTAGAGAGTGATCAGTTAGTTTTACTGTAATTTCGATTGTGTTAATCCCGCTTCTACTTTTAATTATATATTGCATAGTTTGTGAAGAACTTAATTTAATTTATCTTTTAACTGTAATTGATGTACGTTAACAGGGCAGAGCCACCCAGTAGATCTGATAATAAACCATTATTATTATTTTTAATATATAGATTTAGCTTCCCCCCCCCCTCAGGCTTTACATGGATAGGTGCATTAAACATCTGTATTAATTCTCTGTTTTGTATGCACATGTCTACTTTGATTTGAATTTTAAAATGATACAGATTTCATGAAAGTAAAAAATATACCTTTCAAGACAGCAATCCCTTGATCTTCCTTGTCACTTTCTTCAAAGTCATCAAGTCCATTTTCACCTGAAAAAAGTTCCACGGAAGAGGACCCCACTATGAAATGAGTAAAGTGGCGTCACTTCTTCCTATTAACATGTGTGATTGTAGGTTATGTTGCCTGTAGTTAATTCATTAACTGATCCTTATGGACGATCCCATCATATCCATGCAATTAACTACAAAGCCAATGACCACCCAGATAGAGTGCTCCCCAGTTAAATTGACAGGGATAATTGAAAGAGGTTAAATCAAAACTAATAGAAGAAGGTGTGTGGCACCACCATACGCCAATAACGTTGTTTAAGATACCCCAAAAAATCCTTGGCTAATTCAAGGCACCCAAAATAATACCTGGCCTGTCACTTTTACACCGGAATTCCCCTACTAGTAAGGATTATAGGCATTGCTTTTAAGACTTTTTGCTTTTGATTCAGCAAAATTCATGATTGGTATTGATAAAAAATGTACCTGAATAAATTTGCATTTTATTTTCCTCAGCACTGATGTTATTTTTGCTACATTTCCTGTCTATCACAGATCCTTGAACTTCACCTGCAGCAAACAAAATCCAACATTTAAGGTGGCTGCTAAGAATACTGGCAATTAGATGTTCTCAAGCAATGAGTCTATGCTTTCATTATTTTTTAATGTAGAAAACAAGACATATTTTGAATAGTAAATATGTGTTATATTAATAAGTTATTAATTATTAATTAAACTGAGTGGTCTTAATTGCAACATTGAAATATCCAAGTCAAACTTGAATGTTATTGTTTTTCGATTAAGTTTGCAAGTAATAAAAAATGTTCTATGTAACCTTTGGAAATGGTGTTGGTATGTTTTTGTGTGTTTATTCCTGAATGAAATACTCTGGTGACTGCTGTCTCAGAAGCGTAAAGGGTGTTAAGTGGGGATAAAACTCTATTTTCCCAATGGGGCTATACATAATTATAAAACCAAGGATGGAAAAAATATAAACTGTGCATCTTTTAAAGTTGACTTTCTTTTTTCTTTGATGATCATGTATACATGATACATGTCAAAATTAAGTTCAGGTTAAATTTTTTTATCTAGGTTTATTATCTGTTTCCTTTGTCTCCTAGCGCCAATTATTCATGACTTAGGGTTTGAAGACAAAGGAAATTGAGAATCAACCTATCATATTAGGTTGAAATTTTTTAAGCTGAATTTGATTGACTCATAACATATATCTCATGCTAAAAACAACTGAGAAGTTTCCTCCTCTTCCCCGTATTTAGGAGTCAATTTGCTGACTTTCAGAACCCAGAGTTAGTGTTATATCCAGGGCTGAAAGTAGCAGAAAGACAACTGACAGTAATGTCCAGGAAAGAGAATCCAAGACCTTATATCATACTTTCTAGAAAAATCTAAAATCATTTCTGATAATAAAAGTAATTCTTGATGTGACTCACCAATCAGAGTGTGAGCATCATTAGTGACATCCACCTCACATGACCCAGATTTGATGTCAATAGAGGGAGAGTTTATTTCTGCGTCATCATGTCCAGCTGGCTGACCAGCGGTCCGTCTTGAGCCCAAGCAACCTCGGCATTCGGGGTTGAAACATGTCTGATAATCTGCCATTCTGCACTAACTTAAATAATCTGTAATTTATTCTTGAGTTTGTTATCTACGATCTGCTGGATATTTTGGGGCTCCTTTTTCGCAAGATAGCACCAAATTGCACGAATGTGGCAAGCTTTATTATTGTGTGACAATTTTTGGGTAATTTGACACAAGTTAAAATATTTTGGTGGATGCAAGGAGAGAAATTGCTCCTTCAAAGGGGGATTTTTGGCAGAAAATGGAAGTGAAAAACCCAGAAGAACTTATGAAAGTTTTACTTGATAATCCATCGGCTACAAGCCAGTTGAATTCATTTGTTGAGCAAGCAATTGCAAAAAGTCGCGTGTGTTGTTTTGTTGCGGGTTTGCTTGATAATTAATTAACTGGTTTCGTGACAACACTTTGACAAAAAAATTCTTCCCTTTTGTTTTCCTCTAGTCACCTGCACCGTCAAAAGTTGTACCACTGGTAAGTAAAAGCCAAATGTTACAATTTACTTAAATGCTAGCTTTTGAGGAAAAAACTATATGGGACATTTGTTGACGTCAGCTTCTTTCAGATGTATATTTCGACGGGGCATTTTACTTGATTTTCACGCTACGTAGTGTATTGCAAATCCACTTTAAATATATCCGGTGAGCTACTTTTTAAAATAAACTCTCTAACTGATCTGACTCAGATGGCGGCACAAATTTGAGCGCTTTTTGGAGCCAGGTGGGGCACTAAAATCACTTGTTCAAAGTTCGGCCCTCTACAGTCTGCAACTGAAGTCCTTCTGTCATTATTTCATAGATTAATAAATTTTAGTAACTGAAAACCTGGCATGACACAAAGAACTACAGTACATACACATTTTCAAATGTACATATAAAAATTCAATAAATCAATAATTTGTGACAAAATAAATTATGAGACTTATCAACCCTCGGACGTACAAGGGCGGGGGGTTGCATGCCACCCCCCTGCCCATAAGGTTTTCTGAGTTTCTCTCAGAGGATATAACATCAGCACCTGATGTTTTCAGTAGCTGTTTGTTCATCCCTCGCACATATTTTGAGTCAAGTTCAGTTATGGTCCATTTCTATGGTTATGAGATGCGAATTGAATAATGATTGTTACGTCACTTGCATGTGCATTAATTCACATGATCACTGACATCAGATGGACCTTAAAACTCAGCACCAGGGCCTTGGTGGTGTCACATTCCATGCATTTCAAAGGACACAGAACATAACCGTCCTGAGAATGTGGATAGATTCTGGAAAAACCTCGCTATACAGTTAGTAAAGTGCCACTGACCAATGGTTATTATTGTACCATTATAACTATTATTATTTGTTAACAAACCGCTGTTCCTTTCTTTGCACAATGGCTTCAATTAATCAATGTCTCGTAAATGTACCAAAATGTTAACTTACAGGAAAAGAGCGATAAGGAAGTAAGGAAAGCACTGGAAAGGGAAGAGTTGAGCAATGAAGAGATAAAGGAGCTGGGAGGTAAGATGGCCCCAGTGGAAGCAAAGGAAGTGGTAGTTTATGATTCTGGGGATGAGGATACATGCTCTGACCTTCTCCTGAAACGCAAGATCAGTTTGGAGAGAGTCAGGAAAACAGCCAGGGAAAATGAACTCAGGGGAAGTCGCCTGCTGGCTCTACTTATTGGTTATAAGGCACCCAGTCAGCAAATGTCTGTCAAAGACCTGATGGAGTTGGCAAAAGAGAATGTTACAGTGCCATCAGCTAAGGTTTCATCAGCTAGTCTGACCCCTCTGAAATGCTGCACAACATCTACTGCTGATGCAGCCTTACGTGCACAACAAAAGAGGGGAAGGCTAGCATTAGCTCGAAGGCCTCAAACAAGCATAGGTAAGTTATCTTTGGGCCCATCAAGTGAACGCAGCAACCTCACGGTGGCTGCTGGGGTACTGCGCTCCTCACTCGTGGAGACTGAGGGTAGTTTATCTATGGTTGTTGACTCGTCATTGTTTCTCTTTAAGGGAGATTTTACTGATTAAGGACAGTGTAGGTGAGGCTACATGTGTAAGAAAAAGCAATACAGACCTGTCAACCCCTGATAAAGGAGAATCTGGAGACCCATGAAAAAAATTGGGAGATTCTACAAAAAGAAGTGAGATTCTGTTTTTCCCTATCACGATTAAACAAAGCCTTTTTCCATAGGGGGAATTAACTGTTTATTTAAATATTACCCTGCTGTGTGGTATGAAACTTATAGCAAAGAGCCATTTCTTCTAAATAAGCCAACTTCATGGCTAAAATATTATAAAGCCCCATTAAGATTAAACACTGGCACTAGCATTCCCCATAGAATTTCCATTTTATATTCAACAGGGTAACATTTCATTTCAGAAAGATATTTCACCAAAAAACGTGAGATTGGGAGTCTTGTCGTGAGGCCATGAGACAAGTGAGAAATCGTGAAAGTCAAGGCCGAATCGTGAGAGTTGGCAGGTCTGGCAATTTTAAAATAGACATTTTTTGGTCAATTAAAGGCTCTTATAAAGTTTCAGTCTAAATTATTCTTTGGTTGTTTTTAAAAGACTGTGCTGTTTTTTTTAATACAATCAGTAAAATCTGAAATGATTCAATGTTTCGGAATTGTCTTATAGTGCAATTAATTGTAAAAATTGTTGATTGTACGATCATCCTAGAAGAAACAGGGAACAATAAACCTTCGAATTTTTTTGTGGATAAACAGAGTGCCTAATTGGACATGAAATTCAAACAGTGAAAAATTACTGACTTTTATGGTCTATCTGCAGTCCTCATTCCAATAAAAGCATTTATCCTTGTGGGTGAGTGCGCACTCCCATATAAAATTGATACGGATGCTTGGTTATTTGGGTGTTCAATTTACAGGTTTTGATCCAATCTCATTCCCAGGTTTTCTCTCCTACCCTACGAGGAGACCCTGGCGGGTCTGGTCATTTGTATCCCAGAATCTGGGACGGGTAGGAGATGAGATCACTTCGAATGAGGGTGTTTAGGACAAATAACCAATATTTTTACCCATACAGCCACTGCTTGATGTTTTGGGTAAAGAAATTACTGTCCATATAATTTCATGAAATGTGCCGGAGTTTATGGTCTCTCTAAAGATTCAATTCAAGCCTGAATCAAACCCGCATTGTCCTCTTTTAGGGATTTCACTCAAATTTTTTAATATAGTAATATCATAATATCATGTCATTTTTATATGGGATTTGAATTCCCGCGTCACTCTGGTTCCTCAAATAGCAGCTCAAAAGTGCAGCTACCATTTTAGGCTGAACGCAAAATATTGAAATTTAAAATACAAAGTGTAGTGTTCCTAGTATAGGTCACCGACTCAAACCAGTAGATCGACAACAGATGTGTTAATTATCATTTCATTCCCTGAATGAATAATGAATCTTGTACTAGATTTAAAATCTGCTGATCAAATTCTTTCGTATGACCATTTAAATGAAACCTCTTTGACGTTACTCTAGGTGCTATCTTTTTTTTTAGCACTCTACAGAATGAAATTTAGAAATTTTGTCAGATACTTTTGACAATTGGCCATTCTGGGAGTGAAATGGTTATAGCGGAGCTCCACGGGCGCGCGAAGCGCGCGCATGGGCAGAGCCCCATTGCTAAGGAAATCTACCCATCCCAGAAAATTTGGTAATCACGTGACCGACCGACCGTCCGTCCGCACCACAGGCATACCAATGTTTACTCTCACACTTTCTAGCTACTTTGGGAGCCCAGGAGATAGCTGATTGCACATCAATGTTGTCATCAATTGACAGCTGTCAAAACAGGGTATCCGCTGACCACTATCACCTGACCGAATTGCGGGCTCAGGTGTCGACCCATTGAGGTCGAGTATTTTTTGAAGTTATCTGCTGACAATTTACTCGTTTTCAAATGATCGCAGGCTCACGTTTACTTTTGTTTTAAATTTGTATCAAATATGTTGTGTTTATGTCAGTATCGCCCCGCACTATTATGATTTTGATTTCAAACTGACTTCAGACGCAAAAATTCAGCCAGTGTTTGTAAAATACAGGCGGGGAAGACCTTTTCTTACCATGGGCATGTGTTGGTCACACTCCAGGTCCAATTTTTATGCTCTGATTGGTTAAAATTTGACAGGTGAGTTCATGCGTAAAATTTATGCAGCATCTTGAAAGTTGTTTACTTTGACAGCTGAAGCTGACAGAGTTTTGAGTCAACTTGTGATGTTTTTAACTGTCTTTTTCCACTGGATGTACAAAATGAAATACAGCTGCTATGGTTTGTTTATTGGGTTTTTGGTTGAAAAATGCGTCGCTTGTCAAAGCCGATAATCCGGATGACATCGTTTTTGTTTTTCACCTTGCTGGATGCGTACGAGAATTATAAAGGCTCAAGCGATCCTTGCCTTACTTGATAGCTTTCAGGAGCTGCATCTCGAAATATGGTAAGCCTGAGTAATTATTGTATTTAAATCTAATTTCATGAAGTCCAGCGGCGCAGTTTTTGGAGCTAGTTTATGCACGTTTGTATTAAGATTTGACTGAGACACTGATCTGACCTCGTATGAGGTTTGATATAAGCTTAAGCTTACAGAAGCCTTTAGTCGATATTAATTCACCTTAAATAGAAAGAAAAAACTTTCCGAAGAATATTTAGTTATAATTTTGGCTGTACAAAGAAAGCTTTGAAGGATTTTCTTTTCGTGAGTTCATCTTTGAAAACAGCCAACATCGGGAAACCAGCGGCTTAAAACATAAAGTTTAAGCCTACTAGTAAAGACTTGAGGATTCTTAGACACACTTAAATACTCATTTGTTTTCGTGAATGAAAATTGTTGTCTCTGTAAATGTTCTGTCGAATTATTTTTCTTTATTGATTTTTGGTAAACTCAAAGAGTAATTTTCATCGCATTGCCGTTTGTTTTCAGGCGTTCATAAACATCGCTCGCAGGAGTACTCAAAATGCCAAGCGTATCAAACGCTTTTTCAGATTACACATCGTTATAAAACCGTTAATAAA